CCCTCCCTGGGCCCTGGCCCCCAATAATAAAAAGCTGACTTTTGAGATGAAGCACGAATTTGGGTTTTTATTGCCTTCAGGCAGTGTCGTGATTCTGGTCTGGGCCTCCGATCCCCTGTGGCTGGGCTGGGGTAAACCTGGGCCCTGGCTGCTCTGATCTCAGGGATCCACCTTGAGGTGCTTGTCCTCTCGCTGGGGGAAAGTCAGGCCCTAAGGAAGAAGTTGCCCTCTGCAGGTTGGTCAGGCAGGGTGGCCCCTTGGGCTGCAGATCCTGTTGGGTCAGGGGAGGGAGGCAGCTTTCAGAGGCACAGGGCTTATAAGGACCTCAGACCAGCACATCCTCTAGGGGATTCACCTGACCAGGAAACTTCTCCATAAATCATGCCATACTGATGGGTCCTTGGATCGGGCCATGTTAGAGCTCCCAGACTCCTATGCAGACATGGTCACCTCACTTCTAAGGCCCTTCTTGACTCTGATGAAGCCAGAGGTAGGGTTTGACTGTCAGATCTGGGTGCCCTACCTAGCAGCACCCTTGCCAGGCCAAGTCTGATGGAGGCCCTCATCATATACCCCTTTCTCAGCCTGGAGGCATCTTGGGAGTGGTAGAGCCCTCTCCTAGGGATCTTGACTGTCTTGGGTTGTTCAATTGGTTTTGGTGGCAAAGCGGAGGATGGGGGTTCCAATTCTTTCTATCCATGAAAAACTTAAGAATGTCCAGGTGGAAAGAGTTCTTAACGGTCATTAAGGACAGTCAACCTCTGAGCATTTTCCAGATGAGGAAATGAGGCCCAGAGAAGGGAGGGATCTGCCCAGGGCCACAGACAAGTGGGTGTCAGTCTCCCCCTGATTTTTGTTCCCTCGATGCCTCCCAGCATGGCCTGAGTCCATGATCAGATGGGTGGGTGGGAAGCTTCAAGTGGGTATCAAATTCTCATCTTAACAGTTTTTCATCGTCTCTAAGCATTGGCCTCAACTTCCTGATGCCCCATGCAGTCCAGGAAACAAGGGGGTGGGGTCAGTGGAGCAGTGAGTACAATCAGGCCTCTGCCCAGGGCCTCTGCCAGGGCTGCCACACCATTCATAAGCATCAGGATGCCCAAGCCAAGTAGCCTCTGCTGCTGCAAGGAGGGTAATATCTACTCTACTTAGGGATCCACCAGCAACGAAGTGGGACTCAGCAAAAAGCCTTTAGGAATGTGGGTTTCCCGGCACATAGCAGCTAATGGGGAAAGGGAATGCGCTACGTGCACTGAGCAACTACTACATGTGGGCATCTTACACACGTTGTCTAATGACAGCTCACGATCACCTAACAGCCCCCTTGTAGAGGTGAAACAAGGTGCAGGGAGGTAAAGTAATGGCCCAAAGCCACAGAGCCAATGCGTGATGAAGGCAGGATCGTAACCCAGGTGATCTAACTCCAGAGCTCAGGTTAAACTCTCTCAAGCTATTTGAGGCCTGCGGGAGCTGGCCATTAGGGGTGGAAATGATAGGAACACTAGAGTGGCTGGTCCTAAATCGCAGGACCTCAGGACCTGGCCTCCCGCCCTCCTTCATGAAGGACCATGAATATGGCAGAAGGGAGCCACTTCTGATCCTGCCCTAAGCCTCGCCCACACGCAGCTGGCCAACCTCACTCTCCTAATTAAACACCCCGTTGCCCTAAGAATGAAGTTTCAGCTCCATTAACTAGCTGCCAAAGCCCACCGCCTCACTAGCCACTCCTCCCTCCGCGCTGTAGTCACTCTGAAATTCGGAACTTGTAGCAGTTGCACAGACCCGTGCCTTCCCTCTATCACCCCGACCCCCAAGTTTCTCAACTAACTCCTTAACTCCCAGTTTCAACTGATAACTAAATCACTTCACCCAGAAGCAGTGGATGCCTGGGGCTGGTGAGAGGGCTTTCAGCCTGGATTCACCATTCCTAAGCACAGTCTCACCCAAGGTTGATCTCATGGCCTTCACAACCCACCAGGGCCAAGTGTGGGGGGGTGGTGTCAAAGGATGATGGGGTACTTGCGATCAGGAGGGGAGGGTGAGTATGGTAGTTAGGGAGGGAGACATCTCACTGACCCTGGTATATGCTCAACCTTCAACCATCACTCCAGGGGCCAGGCCAACTACCTGGGAGCATAGATTGGGGGTCTGCTCCCCTCTTCCCCTTTCTTCCTTCTCACACAGGGGGAATATGAAGACTGATTTACTTAGTTCATTGAAAAAAAGTAGTTTTTAAAAATGAGTATTTTCTCAAATAGCCACATGTCGCATGGCGCATTAGCTTACCAGGTGAATGATGTCATAAACTAGCTATCAAATGGTTATGATATTTGTAAAAGGGCTAAAAGTAGAGGATGAGTAGTGACAAAGGGACCAGAGAGCCCACTCATTTAACCTCCCTGCCTCCATGGTGGGTGGGATGTCCTGATGAATTCATTCATGGATATTTATTGGGTACTTCCTCCATACTGGAACCCATCCTTGGTCAAGGGACTCCAAAACGGACCAAAACCTGGTCTTTTGCTCTCAAAGAACTCATAGGCTATTAGGAATGAGGGCCTTGGACAACTACAAAGTCTGAGAATAACCAATAGCAATCAAAGAGTGCAGGAAAAAAAATCTGGGAGACATTGCCAACACCTCCTCACTCATCATCTGATGAGTGCTTTCAGACACTCATCAGATTCAACCAGTGAAGGAACATGGAGAGAGCCCATCTGCCCAACACTGCTGTCGGGAAAGGCAGAAATGGAGGAACTCAAGGTGACGGGATGGTCTGTGATGTCTTCTAGTGCCAAGAGCCGTTCACTCTTTCACATGTGGGTTATCTGCACGCTGCCTGCTTCTAAGAATGGTTTGGCTCAGTTCTGAGAGTCTGAGGTTCTGCATCAAAGGGCTCAGGGGCTAGTGCACCACCTGATTCTGTTTCAGGCTGGGCAGGAACCCTGAGACACTTCTTTGTGGTGCTCACTCACAAGGAGGCCATGGGAGAGGCATTAGGACTCAGCAGCAAAGGTCTTGGGATTTTGGTTTCTCCCAGAAGGTGCTGAAAAAGGTAGGAGGGAGCTCTGAACTGGAACCTTGTGAGAGAGAGTGCATTGGTTCTTTGTGAGTGGTAACTGTCTGGGAGGTATGGGCCTGAGTGCTGTCTGGTGTGGGATTGCTTTCTGGACCGTGTGTCTGATACAAGCCTATAGGACAGTGGGTGGTGGGTCAGTGACCTTGGGCTTGCTCCAGTACGGGTCACCTCTGGGCCATCTGACTGCTCCATCTCTGTGGTTTGTTTGGTCACCTTGGCAAGTCAAGCTCAGAGTGCATGGAGATAGCTTTCTTCCCATTCCTCAGGTTCTTAGAGACTCTACTGGCCTCTACTGGTTCTGAGAGGTGGGGAACCAAGGAGTTTGCTGGCCAGGGCAGCCATGTTTCTAGGGTGCAATATTAGGAAGACTCCATGCATGATGTTCAAGGTCAGCCTATAGCTGTCAGGGGTCTCTGGGTTCAGGCCTGGGAAGCTCAAGATTGTCCTGAGCTGAACTCACTCCTGGCCCCAGGGCTACTCTCTATCACATACTTGTCTCACTCAAGGACTTAGCTGGGTCACTTCCCACAGGACTTTGGCCTGGTAATGAGGTTTACGACCTTGAGATGGTCCCTTCCTCTTTTTTGGCCTCCATTTTTCCACATGAACAAATGAAAATGTTGAATAAAATCAGTGGTTTTTAAACTTTCTCAAGGACTTCTTGTCAAATGAAATGTCATGTGAAGCCCAATATATAATATGGAAAAAAAACTAAAGCTGCTTGGAAGAAGATCTGTGTCTTTTGGGGGGAGAACCTGGCCTCCTTTACCCACCAAGTGGCCACTGACTTCTCAGAAGACTCCCAGGGCTCTAAAGGATGCAGTGTGACAGCCACAGGGCTAGACGGTCTTTCAAGGGCCTCCAACTTTGGTATTGTGGGATTTTGTAACTTGAAGCCACTGCAGCCCAGCCCACACAGACTCACTCTCCTGAGTCACCAGGAGGCAGCGTGGGATGGGCCACAGACCTGGGCTGCTTAGCTGGCGACACAGCCACATGGTTCTCCAGAGAAAGTCCGTTCTCTGAGGTCCTCTGGCCAAAGGCCTGTTGCCAGTCACAGCAGAGAGAAAGGTGGTATGTCCCCCAGAGCCACGGGGAAGTCAGGGAATGGGGATCTGGCCTGGTCCCCATCTTACCTGAGGGCCCTCCTCCTGCACAGGCTGGGGTTTGTGTGGCAGGCAGGCAGGGGTCAGAGTCTTTGACGTTGCTCTCACTACAGATTGCCCTTCCCATGCTGTGGCCTGTCCCTCGTCTGAAACTATGTATTTTAGCAATTAAGTCACACAAACAAGCTCCAGCGTCCTGGCTGACTCAGATGAAGACAAATCTTCGGAGAGTTTCTTTGGCTCTAGCCTCTCTTGTCTGTCCTAGGGTTTTCCTCTATGGGGTCTTCTCAGAAGTCTTGACTCTTCCTCCATGTACTCATCTCTGCTCCCCTCCACCCCTTTTCTAGAATCTCCTTCGCCCCCAGTCACCAAGATAAGAGCTCTTTCCTGTTTAAGTATCCAGTCACCTGATCAGGGTACCTCAGTATCCTTGAACTAGAAAACCATGTGCTCTGGGCCTTCCAAATAAAACCCCAGGAGGGGCTGCTCTAGGCATGGTCCAGGAATCCTTTGTTTTGCTGAACTGAGGGCTGCTGGGCTAAAATAATGAAGGAGATAGAACTGGGTTTTCTATCTCCACCAGGCAGGGACAGCCTGGAGCCTTCCTGCTGGTGTGTTAGCTTTCCATGTCTTTAGTGAAGACCTAACCCCTTCATTCTCCTCTGCTGAGTAGAAAGCATGTCTGTCTCCTTGAGCCCTAGGCACTGGGCATGCAGCTGCCGTCATTCTGGTTTGTGGTCAGCCCAACCATCACTGCCTCCTGAGCCCTTCTTGGGCCAACCCCACAGCCCAGTGAAGCAATTCTCTGGGAAGGCTTTTGGTGGGAAAAGCCACTTTATTAAAAGATTCTCTGTCACAGTCCCCCATTTCTGGACCAGTCAGATTGACTTTGGATTGGAGTTTCTGACTGTCTTTCCTTCTAGTTTCTCTCTTTGTCCATGGCTTCCTGAGAGTCAGTGTCCTCAGTGGCATCTGGGGAAAGGTAGGTGACCTTGGGCTCCTGGCCCAATGTAGGGTGAGGTGGCAGCTGGCAGAGGGCCAGGGAGTGGCCAGCCCCACAGCCCACAAGGAGTCCTGACGATGACGGCAGGGCCTGCACAGGCTTCGGGGCCCAGACGTTGGCTTCGGTGCCATCTCCGCACATGCCATGCTCAGTTCCAGCCCCAAGAGTAACACACACCACCTGCGAAGGAGAGGGAAGACGGCTTTGAGGAGGTTGTGGATAACAGGGCTGAAACATTCACCCTGAGGGTGCAGGTACCATCATAAACCCCAGTTATCACAGGAAGACGCCAAAGCTTAAGGACATGTGGCGGCACGCTCCCTCTCCCTACTTCCCTGCTGCCCTCCTGCCCTGAGGCATGCTTCCCATTCCCACAAAACCCACGGCTGTTGACGTTCCAAGCCTGGCTTTCCTCCTCGGCCCTCCCCTACTGTCACCCCCACACAGAATTCATCACCAGACCTACCGGCTCTGCCTCAAAACCATCTCAAATCTTTCCCCACATTTTTCCACCTCCTTAGTCAGCTCCCGCCTGATCCAGACCACCATTTTCTCCTACCTGGGCCATGCCAATGGCCAACTAACAACCCAGCTGCTCACCCCATCCACCTTGATCTTCAAAGAGCATCAAGGCGATCTTCAACAACTGCAAATCTAATCACATGTCACTCTGCTGCTTAAAACCCTTCGGTGACTTTCCACCGTCCTTAAGGAGGCCTTCCCTTGGCCCGTGAGGCCAGAGCGATCTGGCTCCCGACTATCCTGGTAGCCTCACCTTGCACAACTTTTCCCTTCCCTCTTTGCATTCAGAACCCCGGCTTTCCGTTCCTTGAATACACCCGGCAGGGCCTTCCTAGCTCTCAAAGCCTTCTGTTACCGGGCTTCCAGACCTCTTCATATTTTTCATTTCAGTTGTCGCTCAGAGGCCAAGCTCCCTGGCCACTCACTCCGAATCAGATTCTCGTGACTGCCCTCATGAGGACCTGGCACTTTGTAGTAAGGGATGATTCGTGTGGTGATGTGTTTACTGTCCCCTCTTCACTAGACTGCACTCTGTGGTAAGGGAAGAAGCATATATACTTTCTTCACTGCTATACCTCTAGGACAGTGCCTGGTACACAGTGGGTGCTCAATAGGTCTTTGCTGCATAGGCACAAGAATGAACAAATTCATAAGCTAGAAAGTGGCCAAGGCAGCATTCATGCCCAGGGAACTCCAACAGCCCACCCAGCATAACACGTCTTCCTAGGATTTAGACATTGTCCTAGGGTCTTAAAGTCACTCATATGTTTCTGTGGCTGTTTAAAAATTTTTTTCTGGACATAAAAATAATACATCTTCATGACAAAAGAAAAGAAAAGAAAGATGGACAATCTGGAGTTGTAAGGAAAAGCAAACTTGTAGAATCTTGCTCTTGTCCACTGCTAGGTATATTTTGGATATCTCTTTCAACCCTTTAATTTGTGAAATTTATAAATATTTGTATATATGTTTGTCCTGCTTTTTAACATTATAGCACAAATACTTCTCCATGGATTGTAAGTTATTGAAAAAGTAAATTAAAATTAGCCAGGCATGGTGGCACATGCCTATAATCCCAGCTACTCGGGAGGCTGAGACAGATAATTGCTTGAATCTGGGAGGCAGAGGTTTCAGTGTGCAGAGATCATGCCATTGCACTCCAGCCTAGGGACACAGAGCAAGAGTTTGTCTCAAAAACAAACAAACAAAAAAGTACATTGAAAATAATTTTTTTCTCAATATGCAGAAAAGAACAGAAAACAATTTAATAGAAAGACACAGATCCCCACCCAGATTAAGAACATTAGCTAACATTTTGCCATATTTGCTTCAACAGTTCTCTTTAAATAAAAAAAAAAAACCATAAAGATACAGCTTAAGCCCCACCTCCCTTGTCCCTCTATCTAACCCTCTTTCCCAGAAGTAACCACTATTTTGAAGTTGGTATACATCATTAGCATGCTTGTTTTATATTTTTCTACATGTATGTGTCCCTAAGTACTGCGATCTTTTGAGTTTGTTTTAAAGACTTACAAAAATAGAATTATTCACATTTTTTATTTTTTTGCAACTTGCTTTTTACACTCATCATTATTTTTGAAATTTATCTGTGCTGGAAATTACAAATCTAGTTCAGTTATTTTAACTGTGCATAGTACCCCGTCATGTATAAATCATATTTCACTTACTCATGTCCCTTTGGATGGATAGCTATTTAATAATATCATTGTTGCTGTTTTATTACACAACAATTGAAAATATATAATATTATGCAAAACGATACCAATACGGTTGCTATTATAGACAGTACTGAAATGAAAGTCTTTGAACATGTCTCCTTGTACAAACTGGTATTTGTACAGGGTGATCCTTGGGAGTATATGAGTCATGGGGGCTTGTATGTTTACTTTTAGTAAGAGTGGCCAAATATGTCTCCAGTGACTGTAGTCATTGACATTCTCATCAACAACAGACACAAATTTGTTTCCCTATATCTTACCTTTAGACTCTTGCTGTTCTCATGAGTACAATTAGTTTGCGTTGCCCTGACTACTAGTGAGATGGAGCAGCAGCTTTATGTTTATTACCTGTTGAAGTTGCCTCTTGCGTGAATTGTCTACATACATTCTTTGCCTGTTTTGTTCTTTGGTTGTTTGCCTTTTCCTTATTGATTTGCAAGTATTCTTTGTGTATTCTTTTGTTTCTACGATTCCTTGTTGTTATGTGCATTGGAAGTATCTTCTCCAAAAGTCTGTGGTTTGTCTCTTCATTTCCTTTATGGTGTCTTTTGTAATACAAATGTATTTATAATGGCAGTCTAATTGCCCATTATGAAGATTAAACAATTTACTTAACCTGCATTCTGTTATCAGATCCATAGGTTGTTTCAAATTTGTCATTATTTTATATAGTATTGCTATGAACATCTTTATGCATGAGTCTTTGTCTATCTCTAATTATTTTCTCAAATTAGATTCTTAGAATGGGAATTCCTGGCCAAAGAGTATAGGGAATTTCTGAGACTCCTGAGTACTGTTTTGAGTACTGCCAGAATACTTTTCAGAAAGGCTACTTGCATATAACTTCAGCAATCTGTGAGAGTCTCTGTCTCACTCCAGCATTGCAGGTGTGAGTTAGTATTGTTAATGTTGAAAGATCTTCCTAATTGGAAGACAACGAAATGGTATCTCTTGTTTTAATCTGTATGTTTTGACTACCACTGCAATAGAAAAATAATAATTCTAACATTTATCAGATATTTCTATTTCCGCCTTTGTGCACTGTCTGCTTCATATCTTCTTCCTGGTTAGTACAGAAGAGTTTTAGTACTCAGGGCCAAGAGCCAGACGGACTGGGTTCAAATCCCAGCTTTGCCACTTATTAGCTGTGCTGCTTCGGGCAAGTTACTTAGCTTTTCTATACCTCAGTTCTCTGATCTGTTAAATGGGGATAGTAATACCGTAATATCTTATTAGAGTCGTTTACAAGGGTTATATGAGTAAGTGTAGTATATGAAAAATACTCAGAATGGTGCCTGAAACATGGTACTACATAAATGTTTGTTATTGTTGTTACTTATTAAGAGCTTTGTGTTTGAAAGACTGTGATTTTAAAAATATTAGTTCTCTCTCTGTCAGATTTAGCATTACTATTTTTTTCTCAGTTTGACTTAAAATTTTGTTTCCAGTCTTTTGTTAAGTTTATGGTTCTATGCAGTAAAAACTTTTTGATATTGCAGTGATTTGAATTTTTAAATCTTTACATTGAATTCATTATCCACTAAAATTTGTTGTGCAGACCACTCTGTCGAGAGAGTGGCTGGCTGGGCCCCGGGATTGCCCTTCCCTTCCCTTTCCCCTAGTAGGAAGGCAATCAGTGGCCAAAACCTTGGGTTTAGGGAAACACAGATGTCTGCCTGTTTGGCTCGCAGACACGGAAGCGCATACGGAGAGGATGAATCCCAGGCCACACCTCCTGCAGTTAAGCAGGGGTTCCAGCCAGGTTGCTGAAGCACGAGGTAGGGAGAGTGAAAGAGGCTTGGTACCTTTGGGCTTAGTTTGGCACCTGGTATGAGCTTTGTGCCTGGCCCTGGTGAGTGGCACCAGCTGACCGTCAGCAGGAATGGGAGTGGGAGGAAGGTAAAGCTGACCTACCAGCAGGACACAGCACAGTGGGAAGCTGGCAGGTCCCTCTCCTCCAGCCACTCTGAGGAAGCTATGCCTGGGACCGGGGTAGCCAAAGGCCTAGAGCCAGGACTTTCATGCCCACTGGGTCGAGAAGCCTGACAAAGGCCCAGAAATATCCCCCACCGCCCGCACTGCCCCTAGTACTTACAAAGAAAGCTTGACTTTGAGTTAGGTGCTTTGTGTACTTCATCTCATTTAATTCTAACAACCATGTGAGGCAGCCACAATTTACTGATTATTCTCACTTTAGAGAGAATGAAACAGAGGCTCTAGAATCCAGACAGGATGGCTCCAGCATCTGTGCTAAAGTCTGCATGTCATATCCCAGGGCTTGCCAAACTTACTCTATAAAGGGCAGATAGGAAATATTTCAGGTTTAAGGGCCATGTTAGGTCTCTGTCATGTATTTTTTTTTTTTTTTTTTTTTTTTTTTTTTTTTTTTTTTACAACGCTTTAAAAACCATTCTGGCCGGGCGTGGTGGCTCAAGCCTGTAATCACCGCACTTTGGGAGGCTGAGGCGGGTGAATCATGAGGTCAAGAGATCGAGACCATCCTGGTCAACATGGTGAAACCCAGTCTCTACTAAAAATACAAAAAGTTAGCTGGGCATGGTGGTGCGTGCCTGTAATCCCAGCTACTCAGGAGGCTGAGGCAGGAGAATTGCCTGAACCCAGGAGGCGGAGGTTGCGGTGAGCTGAGATCGCGCCATTGCACTCCAGCCTGGGTAACAAGAGCGAAACTCCGTCTCAAAAAAAAAAAAAAAAAAAAAAAAAAAAAACAACCATTTTTAGCTCGCAGCATCACACAAAAAGAGGCTACAAGTCAGATTTGGTCATAGTTTGTCAACCCCTGCCCCACACATATTATAGACTATGGCTTAAGGACAATGCTGTGCTGTCCTGGGTCCCACTTTACCACATGGCTGTACAATAATGGTACACAGGTCCCCACCTACTTCACAGGGTTGTCAG